CGCCTCTCGCTCTGCACCTCTCTCCAGTCCTTGTCCTCCCATCAGAACAGTCACATGTTCCCTCCTTCCCAAGGCCTGTTGTGAAATTCCCAGCGGAAACACCGTAGGTTTTATTTTTTCTGGAAGGGAAAGTCAGAGTGCTAAATCCCAGCTTGCAGTAAACCAGCCTCTGTATCTGTAAAACAAAACTGCACAAAGCCCACTTTGTCTTTCCAGCATGCTATTCAGTGCTGATTACTGGATGGTAACATGGTAGCGTTAGTTACACTTTCCCTTCCCCTGTCCTTAGTGGTACTTTCTATTTTTCTGTAATAAATATGGATTTTTGTGTAAATAAACTGCAGAAAAACCAGCAGTGTGGAAAGAGCGAATAAGAGAGAAATAGCTGGGCAAAGACCCTGGAGCCCAGGCCGGGTTGGGGGTGCTGTCTCTTGGCAGCGTCGTGCATCGTGCACAGTGAGGAGCAGGACTTCAACACTCGCGCATACGCTGGTGCCCACACTTTCTGCTCTTTCGCTTGTGTCTTTTTCCTTTTCTTTCTTCCTTTTAAAACAAAGCACCATCCCCTTTGATTAAAGAAAATCCTATGGAACCCACGACAAACAAACAGCAGCAGAATCCTTTACTCTGGCCTGCAGGGCCCAGGGTGGTGCTGATTTGTGGCTTGGGGGAGGCCTGGGCCTTGCCGGCCGTGGGCTCTGGGCCCACTGTTGCACAAGCACAAAGGCCAAAGTTCCAGGCCTGGCACCCTTGACCTTCAGTCTGCCATGCCTCCCTCTCTCCTGTGTCTCTTCTAGGCGGCCTTAGAGCCCGGTGCTGTGGCGGCTGTTTCTGCCGGACTGTCCCCTCCTGTCCTTCCTGCGGCTGCCTCATCGTCCCCGGCCTGCAGCCCCTTCCAGTGCCCACACCCTTCTGCAGCCCTCCTGGTGGCTTCGCACAGAGCTCATGTTTCCTCCCCCGTGTCTAAATTGCCTCGTCAGGTCCTAGCCTGTGACTGCTGTCACAACTGGTGACTTCCTGACACCAGGTGCAGGTCTAAGGCCTCAGACAGGAGACAATGCACACATCAGTGGGTTCCGCTCCTGCCCCTGGCAGTGCAGTCGTATTTCCTCAGTTCTCTTTCTCACAGAGAAGTTGTGTGTGTGTGTGTGTGTGTGTGTGTGTGTGTATTTGGTATGTGCATGTGCATGCATGTGCCCCAAGCCTGCTCCCAGCCCCCCTAGCTGAGGCATACAGAGACGTGTAGTGAGGGGATGCTTCAGGGTGTGACCCAGGAAGTGTCTCAGAACTGGACTCTGTCCAGTGGGGGAATCCATATTCAGTCACCTCTACTGTGGAGAATTTGGGTGAGTTTCCTGGTTCTCTCTGCTAAAGGTTCCAGTGACAAGGATGAGGAGTCTCGAGAGTAGGGCTATCCAGAGTCACAGGGCCTTGCAAACAGGGCCAGGAACCGTTGCTGGCTGACAGATGCTTAATCACTGTCTGGGAAGGAAACTTCCCTAGGAGCACAGCATCAATAAGAAAAGAACCTCAGCCCATGTACGGGACTGAAGATGACCATGGAAGCCAGAAGAGCCTTGTGACACAGAACTGTCTTCCCAGCACAGAGCAGAGTGGTGGGAGGGAACCAGCAAGGAGGCCACAGCCGTGTCCACACGTGCAGTTCTGCCACAACACCCCGGGCCTCCTGGCTCATTCGAGTTTGGCTGGGCTCCACCTTTGGGCGTTGGGATTCGACTTCAGAGAGCTTGAGGACTGGCACTGAGGCGACCCGGAACTCAGGGCTGTTGGAAGGGAACAGGTGGCAGGAAGCAGCGGGGAGCCCAGGTGTGGGGCTCAGTGGGGCTTCCGTCACAGCTACAGAGCCAGCATGTTTCCCTCCCAGCTCAGGTAACCTGAGGCAGTCATTGTCACTGGAATCAAAGAGCTCTCAACAATACTGATCATTGTTCACCCTCCTGTAAAATATGAAACAGAAACAAATCCCTAGCCAGTGAGGCCCACTGTGGGTTTTCCCTTTCCAGCATTCTGGCTTGAACGTCTCCCCTGGCCCCAGGTCTGTGGAACACCCTCTGCCCTTCACTCAGCCTGGAGATTGTGACCAGCTGCTCCTCCTCCAGAAAGCCCTCTCACCTCCCTGGACCCTCAGAGCACCACATCAGTGACAGCCAGCGGCACCTTCCTGTGTGATTGTGTCTCCTTCTCCACACCATCCCTGGTTCCCGGCTCACTATCTATGGAGACTGAGATGGATTTGTGGATTCTCTAACATCCCTCCCTTCAGGTTCTATTTTCTTCAAGGGGTGCTACGCAATGACTTATTTCTAATACTTAGAATTCAGCAAAGTGATGGGCTGTAACTTCTGGGGCCAGGTCACAAAAGGGCTGTGGCTCCTCCGGGCCCACTCCTACTTGGATCACTCGCTCTGAAGCCATCTGCCATGTGGAGACCTCCACCAAGGGCTGGTACCACAGATCTGCCACATGTACCAGCCCAATCTCATGAAGGACCCGGGGCAGAGCCACCCCGTCAGTACTTCCCAATTTCTGATCCACAGAAACTGAGAGAATGAATCTAGCTTGTTATTCGAAGTCTTGGAGTTTGGGGTGATTTGTTGTATAGCAGGTATGCCTGCCACTCAGAAGATACTCAGTAGCTGTTGGTTGCTTGCTCAATGAGGAAATTTAAACAACAGCCACATGAGCTCCCTCCCGACTCTGCAGGCTGGGTCCTTGGCTGTGGTGATGCAGTCGATGCCTGACTCACGCCCTCCTGGCCTCTCTGCTCTCTGGACTGACTTCCCTTGGGCCAGAGCACCCTGTGCTTCTGAGGAGGAAGCTTGCTTACTCCTCAAGGGCTCACCTGCTTGAAAACGTGCTCTCCACCCCAGCTCCCTGCCTGTGCTCCCTCACTATTTCCCTCCAGGGTGCAATGTGCTCCTGCATCAAAGACTTGTGCTCAGATCTCTTCTCAGGTCTGGTTTTGGAGGAACCCACGATGATCTACAGCTCTTTGGCAAGCAGGGCCCAAACTCTCCTTTTGTGCTATCCACGGGCTGACAGCTGGGCCAGGTCTGGACTCTGGCACCCTGGAGGAAGGGGGGCCCTTGGGCCAGGCGAGGATGGAGGCCAATCCACATTCGCCCAGGAAGAAGTCTTAGAGCAGAGCCTTTCCCTTGGCCCTGCTCCAGCTGCTCTGACAAGCCCTGGTCTCTGTGTATGACAGCCAGGGTCGTCCTCTTGGGACAGGGACACCAAGCCTCGGTGAGAGCCCAGGGCAGGAGGAGGAGGAGCTGAGATGAAGGGAGGAGAGAGGAGGAAAGAAGGGCAGGGCAGGGAAGACATGCAGTGGGTCAAGCAGCGAGGGCAGGTGAGCGGAGGGAGGGTGTCCCCCAGACAGGCCCAGGCGGCCCCAGGTGGATCCCTGGTGAGAGCAGAGGTGACGTCTTCAAGAAGTAGGGGTGCTGGAGATATTAGGGCCAGGTACCTCGGGATTGTGGGCGAGCGCTCAGCCCAGGCCTGGCATCCTGCACAAGAGCAAGGGGGAACCTTACTGCACACAGACGACGGGAAGGCGGACAGAAAAGGGCGCAGAGATCAGAGCCAAGGCCAGAGCCTGCGGGAGCCCGACCCACCCTGCTCTTCACGCACCCAGCCCTGGGGTGTGGGAGGAGACTCACTGCATGACTGTGATAGCCAGACAGGGCACAGAAGGGAGGGGGAAGGGAGCAGGGGCAGGAGGGCCCAGTGGAGAGAAGAGGACAGGAGCCAGGGCAGCGCCATGTGTCCATGGGGACAGTGAGGGTGGGAAGGGTGGAGCTAGGGAGATGAGCCGGACTGCAGGTGGTGTGAGTCAGGGCCACTTCAACCTGCTGCTGCTTTAAATAAAGTTTTATTGGAACGCGAGCCACCTTGTCCTTCACAACCTGTCTGCAGATGTTTTTCAGCTGAGAGTTGCCCCCCAGCCCTTAGCTGGCAGCTGTTACAGGGTATTCCTTAAATGCCATGATTCCACTGGGGCTGTGGCTCCCACACACGATGGGCACGGATCAGTGCACCCCAAAGGGCCCTGGCTGGGGACTTCAGTGGCTGACCTGAGTCTGCTGCAGCGGCCAGTCACACTGGTGGTGTTAATCACATCACCTCACCACCTGGCCCAGGTGCATGCCTGAAGTTACTCAAGAGCAGGTGGGAGCATGGGGTCCCCACCCCTGCAGAGGTCTCTCCCTTGTCTGCCTTCTTCCCCTTCTCCTGAGCCGCGCAGTGGGAGAGGCACAGACAGCTCTTTCTAGGGTTGGGGAAAGGCTCCCAAGATGGGAAGGAACGCAGTAGTCTTACAGGGACTGCTGTAGCCTGCTGATGGGCCTACGGGCTCCATGGCTGGGCCAGGCCACAGTCTCTCTGATGTGGCCTCCTCAGAGTGGGACCTGAAGCCCCAGGTCAGAACCACCACTCAGGGTCCCTTAGAAAGCAGAGTCCTGGGCCCACCTGAGAGCTAAGTTGGATTCTGGTGGAGCCTGGGAAACCCTATTTCCACACCCACCCCAGTGATCTGGACAGCAGCTGCCCATGGCCCTGCAAATCACTGAAACATAGGAGTCCCCCCCACTCCGCCACCCAAAGGAGATGCTGCTCTTTCTGTTCAGGTCCTGTGAGAGGGGACTGGACTGGTTGGAGGGAATCAGCCAGAATCACTGCTTGGCTGGGCTGCGGCTCCTGACAGGCTTCTGTGCCCGCCCTGGTCCGCTTCTAGGAGGGTGGTTCTGCTGGCCACGTCACCTGCTGAGTGGATGGCAGGGGCTGCTGGAGGGAACAGGCTGGGTCCCTGCATTGTGTGACCAAGCCTGAGTGCAGAGCCTCAAAGTCCAGACCCTGACCAGCGGGTTACGAGACATGAGCCCGTCCCTCTACCCCAGCTTCGGGTGCCCACCCCCTCCTCCCTGCTCTTTCCTGCTGGGCCTGGATGCCAGGCGGTGGGCGCCGCGGTCAGAGCCACTCACCCTGGGGCTGCTTCTGGGGGGTCTCCGGCCCAGTCTCATCACACTGCCCTGAGGGCCTCCGGAGGATGGACTCGATGGAGAAGGACAGGCCCAGCTTCTCGGGGGCCCCGAGGCACCCTGTGCTCTTCTCCTCCATGCCCCAGGGGAGCCAGGCCAAGGGCTCACTGACCAGCCAGGGGTTGGGGCTCTGCACCCAGGGTGATGGGTGGCAGGGCAGAGGCAGGGCTGGGAGCCCCCTGCTGGCCTGTCTGGGCAGGACGCCGCATCTGCGGGGACTTCATGCATGTGGCAGTGCCCTGGGAGCAGCGGGCAGCCACGTCCCAGGTTCACAGCCCAGGCTCCAGCCTGGCATCAAAGGCAGCGCCACGGCCAAGTGGGCTTGGCACTGTGGAGAGCAGTTTCCTGGACAAGGCCAGGCCCCTGGCGCTGCCCAGGGACAAAGGGCAGAGAGGAGGCCGCGGGCTGGAGGCTGAGCCACTCTGCCCTCCTCTCCCACCTTTCCTGGGGCCTGGCCACCCGAAGTGTGAGTCTGCGGCTGGGGGGGTCTTCTGGGGTGGCTGGCGCCTGTCCTGCTGCTTCCTCGGCCTCTGTGCCTGCTGTGTCCACTGGCTGGGGTCCTGGGTCTGTGCCTGGCTGTGTCCCGTGCGGGACGGTGGTCGCCCCCCTGTCTCAGGCTCCGGTCTCTGCACCCGGCCCGGCCCCTTTCCTGCCAGGGTCCTGTGCCTTGCTCCGGTGTTCTCCGTCTCCCTGGGGCACCCAGACCTTTCCTTCCTCCTGGCCGCAGACCGGCTTCGCATTACTGTGTAATCACAGAGGGCAGTAAACTCTGATAAGGGAGGAGCCTCCCTCCCTCGGCAGCATAGGCAGTGGTGGGGCAGGTGCTGAGGTCCAGCTCCAGGGCCTGGGGAGGCACAGCAGCGAGGCGGATTCCTCTCACCCATGCTCCCGGAGCTCATAGACAGCAGAGGCCCTCCAAGGACCTGTGGGGAAACCGAGGCCAGGACTCAGGAGCGGTGGCCTGGGAGGCTGGGCTGGACTCAAACCCACCTGAAGCTTCCACAGGCAGGGGTGAGCTCGTGGGACGGCTGCCCTGGCTGGCATGGTGGGCAGGCCGCGAAGTGCTCAGCGAGGCCTCCCCCGGGTGGGGCCAAGCTCTGTGGCAGGAACACGTGTGCCCTGTGGGCTCAGGGGCTTCCACACCCTGAGGCCGCTGTGCCCCACATGGCTCCAGGATGGGGTGTGGGTTCAGGGTCAGGAGCAGCAGTGACACGGACACCACAGCCCTGTGTCCCCATGGGACAGTGAGACCCCAAAACAAGGGAAGGCGTACATTAATGTCACCACAGTGCAGGACACCTTGAAGGCCCCAGAATGCTCCCCTCGTGATGAGCACACCTGCCCCATCATCTGGCCGCTTCCTGCAGCTGCTCTGGCGTCCTCTTTCGTAAGGGTCTTAGTTGCACTGTCCTGGCTGCCTCGATGTCCTCAATCAATTAGAAATGTATCCCTTTCATGGCCGTTTTGACTTTGGGGAGGAGCCAGAGATCTTGCAGCGCCAGATTCGGTGAATAAGGCAGATGAGGACACAGCGTCATGCTGCTCCGAGCTGCGTTTCCGTGGGCTGGCTCTCCGCAGCAGCATTCACAGTTTCGGTCACTCCTCCCAGAGACACGAAAGAAGCGCTGCAGATCCACTCAGAGAGTGGCCGGGGGTTCACGGCAATGTGTCTTTTACTGTGATTAAAAAAAAATTAAACACACATTGTAGGTTTTGGTTAAACCCTGTAAGATTCTAGGCTTTAATGGTTTGTCCCCCAGGGCCCCGCAGCTGGACAGCAGCTCCCTCCCCAAGGCCAGGGTCCCTCTGCGGCCTGTGGCCCAGAGATGGGATTCAACTGTGTTGAGGAGTGAGCTGCAGGGGCCGCAGGGCAGGAGGGAGCGTGGGGGCTGCGAGTGAGCTCGTGGGCGCCTGCGGCCGGTTCCACGGTCCTGGCTCCCTTGGAGCAGGGCTCGGCAGGGTGTCTCTTGTGGAGCAGGAGCCTACGGAGGCTCGGCTGGTGACCACCTCCCCTCACAGCCGTGGGTCTGTCGGTCGCTTCTTCCGGTGGAGCCTACGCTGCTCTCCTTCAGTTCTGGTGTTTAGGAGAAATCGCTGGAGTTCCAGTCAGAAAGGCTGGGCTGCTTCCAGGTGACGGAGTGGGTGCTGAGCCAGAGAGCAGGTGGGAGTTAGCTTTTGTGTTGGGCTCACCCGGAAGTGAGGCCCCAGGGGGTTTGTGCAGGGCGGGACAGGACCTCCCTCTCCGCTGCCCCCCAGGGCGCCGGTTGGCGAGCCACTGCGGGGCTGAGGGTTGAGCACAGGGCCTTCACACATCTCTGTTGTTTCTCGAGTTTTATTTAGACAGGTCAGTCGCGAAGTTGAGCAAGCTGGGCCCGAACTTGCTGTCCTCCTGCCTCAGCCTCCAGAGGGCAGGGATTGCAGCTATGCACCTCCCTATCAGGCTTGAAAGTTTATGTACTTTAAAGTTGAAAAATATGTTCTAAATATTTATGGCGTGCAGTGGGGTGTTTTGAAATATATATATATATCTTGGGGTGGCTAAACTGAGCTAATTAACATATCCATGGCCTCTTATACTTACTTTTTGGGGATGAAAATATTCAAAATGTACTCAGCACCTTTCAAGAATACACCACCTTGTTACTAACTGCTGTCATGTGTGGTTCATTGGATCTTTAGGCTGGAAACTGGAGTCCTCTGACCTCCTCTCAGGGACCCAGCTTTCCTGTCTGCTGCCACGAGCTGGCATTTCTAGTTGCCCACACAGTGAGTGTGTGGCTTGGTGTCTTTCTGGGTGTACTTGTTTTGCCTGTTGCCGTGGTCGGTAGATCGATCTCACACCGGCCATCAGGAGTTTGGCTGCACCCTGAGTGTTGGTGCCATCGGCAGGCTTGTCCCCTGGTGTTGCTGCAGCTGCTGTAGCTCCAGACCTTACATGAACCCTTCCAGGGCTGAAGCGAAAGGCTCTCCTTTTCTCCCCCTTTGTCCCTCTCTTTTTCATGTCCCAGAGGCCTGTGCAGACCCTGTTGGTGTGTTGCATGCCCCATGTCACATGCAGAGAGCATGACATTGCAGCACGGCCAGCATCGGCCTCACTCCTGGGCCAGTGGGGCAAGCTTCCTTGCACTCTGCACTCTTCCAGGTGTGGACAGTGGGCACGGTCTCTGTCTGGGTGGGTAGACAAGGCGCCCTCAGGATGTGTGCAGTGGGAAGGTGGCCGAGAGGCAGGCGACCACTGCCCGAGTGGGGGTATTGTGGTGTTGGTGCCTTCAGCCTCCAGGGAGCCAGTGTTCCTGTCACAGCAGGGCCTGTCACAGGCCTTGTCCTGAGAGGGGGTCACACCCCTGACCGGGAGAGAAAGGGGGCAAACCACTCGTGTCCCCACATGGGGTGTGTGGGGCCCGTGCGGCCCCAGCTGTGTGCAGTGGGTAAGCCGTGCTGCACCTGGTGGGTGGCTCTCAGTCTGCAGTCCAGGGGCCAGGGCTGGGCAGAGCTGAGGGTCCCTGAAATGCTCACAGCTCAGCTGTGTCCTCAGGTCTCAGAGCCCTGGGCATCGGTGTGAGGCCAGGGCCTGGGAAACTTTCCACACAGCAGCGTTCAGCTGTCCACTCTGTCCACTCTGTCCACGCAGCAGCATTCGGCTGTCCACTCTGTCCACGCAGCGGCGTTCAGCTGTCCACTCTGTCCACGCAGCGGCGTTCAGCTGTCCACTCTGTCCACGCAGCGGCGTTCAGCTGTCCACTCTGTCCACGCAGCGGCGTTCAGCTGTCCACTCTGTCCACTCTGTCCACGCAGCAGCGTTCAGCTGTCCACTCTGTCCACGCAGCGGCGTTCAGCTGGCACCCACTCTGTGTCCACCCTGCTAAATGAGACCAGAGAAGTGCCTGCCCTCTGC